TCCCCGACGGGGGGGGGAGGGGGGGTCCCGGGGGGGGTCCCGGGGGAGTCCCGGGTCAGATACGACGGCCCCCCCGTACCGACCTTGAGCAACGTCGTAATTGAGTCGAAGGGAAGCCCCTTCCCTTTCCCTTCCCCGACGGGGGGGGGGGGGGGGTCCCGGGGGGGGTCCCGGGGGAGTCCCGGGTCAGATACGACGCCCCCCCCCGTACCGACCTTGAGCAACTCCCTTCCCCGACGGGGGGGGGAGGGGGGGTCCCGGGGGGGGTCCCGGGGGAGTCCCGGGTCAGATACGACGCCCCCCCCCCGTACCGACCTTGAGCAACGTCGTAATTGAGTCGAAGGGAAGCCCCTTCCCTTTCCCTTCCCCGACGGGGGGGGGAGGGGGGGTCCCGGGGGGGGTCCCGGGGGAGTCCCGGGGAAGTCCCGGGTCAGATACGACACCTCCCTCCCCCACCTTCTCGTCCTTCTCCCCGTTCCCCAAAACCATCCCACAGCCCGTGCCTCTTGCTGCGCATTGCGAACAGGGTCGGCGGCACCGGCCGTAAGGCCTTCGCAATATACTCACTAGTCCCCAGACTATTTACCTAACAGCTTTTGCTGATAGGTTTCTAGTAGGGTCAAAAGAGAGCATCATGACTCCTCAGGGGGGTCTGGGCGGGTGCCGGGGAGGAGGGCCGGGAATCGTTTTTCGCCAACAGTCACACACTTCGTGCTCTTCGACCTCCCAAAACTCCATTCCCGGGACACATTCTGGAGAACCGGGAACAAAGCCGGGCTCGCTTTTTGCCAACCGTCACACACTTCGTGCTCTTCGACCTCCCAGAACTCCATTCCCGGGCAACATTCTGGAGAACCGGGAACAGAGCCGGGCTCGTTTTTCGTTAACAGTCACACACTTCGTGCTCTTCGACCTCCCAGAACTCCACTCCCGGGCTACATTTTGAGTGCCCGGAGCCAACTGTAGGCCACTTCGTGCTCTTCGAGTTCCAGATCTGAACTCCATTCCCGGGCCACATTTTGGATGCCCGGAGCCAACTGTAGGCCACTTCGTGCTCTTCGATTTCCCAAAACTCCATTCCCGGGCCACATTTTGGATGCCCGGAGCCAACTGTAGGCCACTTCGTGCTCTTCAAGTTCCCAGAACTCCATTCCTGGGCATGATTTTGAATGCCCGGAGCCAACTGTAGGCCACTTCGTGTTCTTCTAGTTCCCAGAACTCCATTCCTGGGCCACATTTTGAATGCTGAGGCAGGCTGATGCTGCGGCCGAGGCAGGCTGAGGCTGAGGCAGGCTGAGGCTGAGGCCGAGGCTGAAGGCAGACTGAGGCTGAGGCTGAAGCAGACTGAGGCTGAGGCTGAGGCAGGCTGAGGCTGAGGCTGAGGCAGGCTGATGCTGAGGCAGGCTGAGGCTGAGGCTGAGGCTGATGCAGGCTGAGGCTGAGGCAGGCTGAGGCTGAGGCCGAGGCTGAAGGCAGACTGAGGCTGAGGCTGAAGCAGGCTGAGGCTGAGGCTGAGGCAGGCTGAGGCTGAGGCAGGCTGAGGCTGAGGCTGAGGCAGGCTGAGGCTGAGGCTGTGACTGCGACTGCCGTTGCCGCTGCGACTGTCATCGCGAATGCGACTACGACTGCGAGAACAGCAGAATTCTACAACTGGATTTTCATCTGAATCTTAAGGGGAATGCTTTCAGATATGCTTCTACATATCGCTGTTAGGTTGCTTTGCCGGGATAATTTTTTGACAAATTTTGAATATCCCCCCTGTAGAGGGACAGGCCCGACCTAACGCTGGTTTCTCGAGACGAATTCTTCGATGCGTGGGCTCCTCCGCGCTCTCGCGCTCTCGCGCCGCCTCCCAGGGGAGAAGAGGAGGATGAGGAGAAATCGGAGCCGAACCGCGAAGCGCGAAGCGCGAATGACTTCGCGCCCTCGAGGGCGCCCCTGGCCCCGGAGTTTGGGATACGCTGGCTTCTCGAGACGAATTCTTCGATGCGTGGGCTCCTCCGCCACCGCCGCCAGCCGCTCGCGGAGGCCCGCCGCCTCCGCCGCCGCGGCAGCCTCGAGGTCCTGCGCCTCGCGGAGCCGAGCCAGCTCGCCGCGGGCCGCGGCGAGCTGCCCCCGCAGCTCCGAGGCGCCCGCCTCGGCCGCGCCGCGGGCCTCTCGCGAGCAGCGCGAGCATCGGGGGAGGAAGAGGTACGCACACTTAGGTCGGGCCTGTCCCCCCTAGAGGGTGATGTTCGACGAAAAATAAAACAGACCCCCAAAATATCCCCCAAAGGTCAGAACAGATTCGAAACATAGTCGCCAGGCTATTTTTGGACCATTGTGGGGATATGTTTGGGGTATTTGTTACTTTTCGTCGAAGATCCCCCTGTAGGGGGACACGCCCGACTTAAACGTATACAGGCCTCGGAAGAAATTAGCGAACACTCATGCTGCATTCATCTGTCAACGCCCCCCCCCGATGATCAATGTTGGCAGTGAGTTGAGTGAGGTGCACTTCGACCGCAGTCCTCCCCGCGCGCGCCAACTGGGAGTTTGGGGGGCGGGGCAGTGTCCACTAATCGTGTCCCGCTGCCGTACCTCTACCCTTCGCCCGTTTTTCCCCTTTGCGGGCCTCCTGGGAGGCCCTCGTCGCCCCCGCCGGGTTCGCCTCGAAATGCTGGTCAGAGCGCACCCCGAGAGAGGTCCAAAAAGCAGCGGTGCCGGTTTCCCCAGAGCAGATCCGCACCCGTGCCCTCGCAGGAGAGGCGGACGGAGCGAGCCCAGACGGAGACCGAGCATTCCGTATGGACCTATACTCCGTATGGGCTCAGCCTCGGATCAG